ACAGCGTGAGCAGGGGAGGGTCAGAGAGAGAGGGAGTCACAGACTGAAACAGGCTCCAGGCTCCGAGCTGGCAGTCAGCACAGAGCCCGACGCGGGGCTCGAACCCACAAACCGCGAGATCATGACCTAAGCGAAAGTCGGAAAGTCGGACGCTTAACCGACTAAGCCACCCAGGCGCCCCCAGACTCAGGAATTTTTTTAAAGTTTCCCCTTAGGGAAGGGAATGTGGGCCAAGATAGGGCTCCATAATTATTAGCTGGGTGCAGGGATGCTTTGTAGGGCTACAGCTCCGGGTGGACAGTGCAGGGGGAGAAACAAAGGTAGAAAGAAGTGTTAATTGAAAGAGGCTGGAGATTTGCAAACTGTCTACCCGAAGGGGTTGACATGGGGTTGTCTCCATGGCATGCAGAGGCTCCTCACCTCCTGGGTAAGGGGATGGAGAGAGGAGAGAGGAGGCTGAGGCAGAACTTGAAACAGGCTCACATTTAAGAAGCAGGAGGAAGAAGAAGATCCTAGGCAGAGGCCTGGCGAGGCAGAGGCGGCTTATGTTCATGGAAGCCCCATAACACGTCCAGGCCACTGCTACGAGGCGTTTCCAGCCCCTGCAGATAGGTGTTGCCATGGAGTTCAGTTTAGCCAATGGATAGAACGGTGAACCAGATAGTTCCAGCCCTCTTTGAGCTCAAGTTGAATAGATGAAGAGGAAATGTCTGCTGGTACCTTGGCCTCTTTCAGATCTGGCATGTTGAGGCCACTTGCAGAAAATGCCACTCTCCCTGTCTGGGGACAGAAAGAATGACCCTGTGGGGTGCTTGGGTGGCTCAGTTGGTTAAACGTCTGACTTGAGCTCAGGTCATGATCTCTCTCATGAGCCCACTTCGGGCTCTGTGCTGACAGCTCAGAGCCTGGAGCCTGCTTTGGATTCTGTGTCTCCTTCTCTCTCTGCCCCTCCCCCACTGACTCTGTCTCTCTTTCAAAAAAAATAAATAAACATAAAAAAGAAAAAGAAAGAATGACCCCATGGTCCTATGGGCTGTGGGAACCCCATGTTCTTGAATTGTGCCATCTCTTCACCTGGACTCTTCATGTGAGATAAACGTTGATTTAAGACACTGCGATTTGGGGGCTTATCTGTTACAGTAGTTGGTGTTACATCATAACCTGGCCCAGTGGTGAAAAAGCAAGAGGCGACTGTTGAAACTGAGGAGGGGAAGCATGTCAGGGTCCTGAGGCCTGGACCTGTGTGTCTTTTACACCCCCGAGGCCTGTGGTCCTGGAGTGAGCTCTCACGTGTCCTTACCCTCACTGTCCTCCTGGGCATGCGTTCTTCTGGATGAGTGCCCCAGCCAAGGTTGCAGAACCACGCTCTTGAACTTCACTTAGAGAAGGGATCAGCCGTCTCCGCCAAGGCCTCCGGCTCCCACGGCAGGGAGATGCGTGTGCCAGGTGCACGTGTCCTCAGCTGAGAAAACAGAAGCAGGAGGAAGAGATGAACAACCAGACATCAGGGAGCGCAGACGGGGGGTAGTTTTGAGGACTTGGCCGCCTTGAGGACCCAGGCCACGGGGGCTATCTCTCTGTGAGCCCGCCATGCTCCCAAAGGCCGTCTTCCCTGTGGGGCCCACTCAACACAGATTCCCAGGAAGGACAATCTGATGGGTGTGACTGAGGCCTGTGCACTCCCCCTGAATGTCGGTGGTAACGACAGGAACTTAGAAGCAGCGGATGAGGGGCCGGAGACGGGGACTCCGCTTTCGCTACTACTTTTGGCAAAACGTTTCATTATTCTGTACTCCAATTTCCCCATTTAGAAAACAGGGTAATAACACGTGCTCTGTCTCATTTACAGATTGTTCATGAGGAGGGAAAACATGAGAAGAAGGGGAAGGAAGACAAAATACCAAAAGCTCCTGGAAGGGCTTTTAGAAGCCCCAAATCAAATGTAAGAGCAGTCAGTTAGTGAAACATCTGTTACAGGTTGAATTGTGCTCCCCCCAAATATGCAGAAGTCCTAACGTCCAGTCCCTCGGAATGACCATACTTGGAAATGCGGGTGTGGGGGATGCAGTTGGTTCCATTGAAGTGAGCCCACAATGGAGCAGGTAGACCCTTATGCAGTACACCTGGAGCCCTTAGGGAGCACACAGAGACAGAGACAGGAAGAATGCCAGGGGGCCACGGGACAGAGACTGAAATGTCCCCGCTACAAGACAAGGAAACCCACAGATAGCCAGCCATCACCTGAAGCGAGGAAGAGATAAGAAAGCTTCCCCGCTACAGGCTTCAGACGGAGATGGGCCATGTGGATGCCTCCATCTTGGATTTCTAGCTTCCAGAACTGTGAGACAATAAATGTCTGTGTTTTAAGCCCCCAGTTTGTGGTACTTGCTTATGGCAGCCCCAGGCAACTGGACACACACCCTTTAACAATTCCCAGGCACGGCGAAGCTTGGCCAGAGTCCTTGGCCCGTCGCTGAGAGGTTTGTGGCCTAGTATCAGACATGGGGCATGGGATGAGGACCTGAGTGTCAGGGTTGACACCACTGATGTGAAGACCACAAAGAGCACAGGTCAGTTCTGGAAAATCCCCTGCAGCTAACGAGGTTACGTAGGTGCATGGCCAGCAGAGCTCGATCCACACGGACTGAAAGTGTCACTTCTGCCTTGAGAGACAGAACTGTCTCTCTGAGACAGCTCTGCGTGCTCAGAGCAGAACTAGCTTACGCAGTCTCCGGACTGTTCTCCCTTCCCGCAGGCACGGATTACGCACCACACTCATACGCCAGGCATCCAGCACTTGAGCTCCTGGACCCACACGGACCCGGCTGGCACAGGCACACGCAATACTTTGGCGAGGCCCACTGCACATAGATCACCCTTAAGGAGAAAGCCTGCGGGAATGCCATCTGCCACTCGGTCCTCACATGGCTCTTGGGTGCTTTGTTTTAGAGGAGAAGTCATAAAGCCTTTTTACTCTAGGCCCTTCTACCCTGCATGAGATTTTCCTCTGCTGAATGTGGGGTCTGGTTCCTGTGTGATGAGCACAGGCACAAGAGCTAAACTGTTTCTGCATGAGCATTATGCCATTGGATCCTCACCATGAACCTGTGAGATAGTTACTGTTACCGTGTCCATTTTACAGATGAAGAAACTGGGGTGCAGAGGTCCCACAACTGGAGTTAAGAATCAAGTCCAGGCCTGTGTGACTCTAAGCCTCTAAGCCATGTGATGTTAACTGCTCTATTATCCTACTTTGATAGTTTATTTGGATCAGGCTGTTCTGAATTAATTTTGAAAGCAATAATTAAGGAAAGAAAGAAGGAGAGAGAGAGAGAGAAAGAGAGAGAGAGGAAGGGAGGGAAAAAAAGAGAAAGAAAACCAAAAAAGTATGTGTGTGTGTGTCTGTGTGTGTGTCTGTGTGTGTAGCTGTGATCCACTTTGACCTCATACTTACAGGGGAAGGAAGGAGAGCTAACATTAGGAGCTAAGTGCTTCCCTACAGGTGAGCTCATGGACTCTTCCCCACAGCACTGTGAGGTGGGCATCTCAGAGATACAAAGTAACCGGCCAAGGTCACCAAACTGATCCAGGGCAGGGCACAAATGTGAATCTGGATTATCTGACTGTAAGCCTGGTATGTTTTCCATGACCTCTGTGCCAAAAGTGACAGCCGGACTCTGTCCCACTTATGTTGAGGATCTTAGAGTGCCTCACTCAATACCTGGCACAAAATAAATATTTATGGGATTGGATTGAATTAAACCCAAAGGAACCTAATGTCCATTAAGAGAGGATTTGATCATTAAGTGGACACCATGCAGATGTTGCAGGGAAAGAGCTGACTGTACCGACTAGAATCTGTTACAGGAGCAGTTTAGAGACAAGTATATTTAGAGTGATTCCTTTTTTGCAGGAAAAAAAACCCTTCCCTCTGGCTATCTCTGTTGTAAATACAAAAGAAAAGTCTGCATAAAACAGCCACAAATAAAAAGTAATAGTTATCTTTGAGGGGAAGGGTCACGAAGGACTTTCCTATCTTTATAACAAAGAAAACATTGAAGATACTTGCATTTTGAAAAAAAAAAAAAGAACAAAAGGAAGGAAAAGAAAGACATGTTGTTGGTGGTGACGATAGACGCCATTGGAACAGGGATGCACCCAGGATTCACCAAGTCCGCTCCCTCAGCGTGGGCCCTGGGGAAAATGGAAAGGGTTCATGCAGAGAGTCCCTCCCCCACATCCTCTCCTCGTACTCAGAAATATTATCTTTTACAACAAACTTATGAGCACATGACCAGGGACCAGGACTCCTTGGGAAAATGGGCCTGGAACATTTGCTTTGTATTGGGGTCAAGTGAAAAGTTCACAGAAACTAACTTGAAGGGGCACCTGCTGGCCAAAGGTGGCATGCGTGGAATATTAAAAACAACTGCAATAAGTTGACACACATTCATTATTATGAAAGCAAATAAACAAAGGAAAAAAGCCAAGTAAGCTTGCCTTTCCTGTATGAGCTGTACCTAATGATTGATGAAAGTTTTTTTAATTTGTTTTGTTTTGTTTTTTAAATAGAAGAATTCTAACTAACAAACACAGGAGGAAACCTAGAATTTAAAAAAAAAATCTCTGTTTTGCCACACTGATGATAGTGTGGACCCAGGCAATGATAATCAGTGGTCGCTGAAGCCATTAGGTGAAACCCTGAAGGAAACTAGTCGTGGACAGGTGAGGCCGACAGCCCCACAGCCAACTCATCCATCCTCGCACTGTGAATAGAGAGGCCCCAGGCATTATCTGCCTCCTGACAGGCGACAAGGGGATGTACCCAGCACCATCCATGAAATACTCTTGCCACAAAACCAGGCCTGCAGAACAAACTACCATTTTACAGGAAAGATGGGCTCAGAGAACCACGTTGCAGGACTCTTCTGGATTCCAACCCTCAAAATTCAGAATGTGGTCAACTCTACACATGAAAAGAGACAGAGACGCAGTTCAAATAAATGCAGTTTGTAAAATTTATTTGCATCTCGATACAAACAAGTCAACTGAGAAAATGACCCAACATTTCCTAGGCAATGAAGAACATTTGAACACTGGTTGCGTACGTAAGAACAGTAGAAGGATTTATGATAAATCTTTGATGTGATGATTTATGATGTGATGGTAAGAATTTGTTTCAGAATAATGCAGGTGTGTGGGCCGGAGAGAGGAGAAGACGTGCTGTAGAAAAAACAGGCCTGGCTACGTGCTGGTGGGTTATGAAAGGTGGCCAGGGTCCACAGGGATTTATTTCACTATAATCTCTGCTTGGGTACATGTTTGGAGATTTCCAAAAGAAAATGTTAGCAAAAAGCAGTAAAAAGTATGGGCATACGACTTAATTCTTCCATCATGATGGTAGTGGAGGAGGTGTGTATGTGGGTGTGTGTGAAATGCATGAAGCATGTGACACACATGCTGAGTGGGTATGTATGTTCTTGTGCTCCATTTGGTCCTAATTCAAGTAGCAACTCTGGAATAATTGCATCCTACCGAAAATGACTTTTCCTAAGGGGCGTCAGGCAGGCAGGCAGACACACGGACAAGGCACTGCTTAGGGGACTGCGGGGGCCAGCCCCACACGGTTATTCCCACGATCAAAGACTGAATAAAACTGTCTAATGAAGACATCACCCAGGATCCAGAGGGGCCCAGCTGGAGGCTGGATGTCAAGACCTTGAAAGCCACTGCTGCAAAACTCCATTCCATCCACCAAGTCCTGGGGGGTGGAAAGAAGATATAAGTGACATGTAAGGAGAAAGGGAAGTAGTGCTGTCTGGAGGCCATACTGTGTGGTAGTGGTGGAGGCTGGCCTGGGACCATTCCTTCATCCCTTGGCTGGTTGGTTCCTCTTCCTGCTTCATGCACCTCTGCTTGTTTGCTCAGCAAGGTGCTTGCATTGTTTCATAGTTCTATTTTTAACTTTTTGAAGAAGTTCTGTACTATTTTCCAGAGTGGCTGTACCAATTTGCATTCCTACCAACAATGCGGAAGGGCTCCCCTTTCTCCACATCCTCGCCAACACCATTATTTCTTGTGCTGTTAATTTAGCCATTCTGACAGGCATGAGGTGTTATCTCATTGTGGTTTTGATTTGTATTTCCCTGATGATCAGTGACGTTGAGCATCTTTTCAGGTGTCTGTTGGCCATTTGGATGTCTTTGGAGAAATGTCTATTCATGTCTTCTGCCCATTTTTAAATTGTTTTTAGTTTGTTTTTTGGGTGTTGAGTTTTAGAAGTTCTTTATATATTTTGGATATTAACCCTTTATCAGATAGGTCATTTGCAAATATCTGCCCCCTTACAATGGGTTGCCTTTCAGTTTTTTTTATTGTTTCCTTCACTGCAGAAACAGTGAATTGATGAATTCCCAATAGTTTATTTTTGCTTTTCTTTCCCTGGCCTTGGGAGACATACCTAGAAATAAGTTGCTAAGGCCGATGTCAACGAGTTTACTGCCTGTGTTCTCTAGAATTTTTATGCAACTACGCTGCCAAGTATTTATCCAAAGGACATAAAAACACTAATTCAGAGGGATAGATGCACCCCAATGTCTATAGCAGCATTATCTACAATGGCCAAATTCTGGAAACAGCCCAAGTGTCCATTGAATGATGAATGGATAAAGAAAATGTGGTGTATGTGCACAATGGAATATTACTGAGCCATAAAAAGAATGAAATCTTCCCATTTGCAGTGATGTGGATGGAGCCAGAGAATATTTATGCTAAGTGAAATAAGTCAGTCAGAGAAAGAGAAATACCATATGATTTCACTCATATGTGAAATTTAAGAAACATAACAACTGATCAATGGGGATGAAAAAGAGAGAGAGAGAGGCAAACCAAGAAACAGACTTTTGGGAGTCTATAGGGAACAAACTGATGGTTACCAGAAGGGAGGTGGGTAGGGAGATGAGAGAAATAGGTGATGGAGATTAAGGATGGCACTTGTGAAGAGCCCAGGGTGTTGTATGGAGGTGTTGGATACTATACTTCATACCTAAAACTAATATTACGTTGTATGTTAACTAACTGGAATTTATTTTTTTAAGTTTTTTAAAAATTTATTTTGAGAGAGAGAATAGGGGGTGGGGAGAGGCAGAGAGAGGGAGAGAGAGAATCCCAAGCAGTCTCTGCATTGTTAGCACAGAGCCTGATGCAGGGCTCGTACTCACAACGGTGAGATCATGACCTGAGCTGAAATCAAGGCTTGGATGCTTAACCAACTGAGCCACTCAGGTGCCTCACTAACTGGAATTTAAATAAAAACTGAAAAAATAACCCCCCGCACACATTTGTTTCCACCCGTATTGTCTGTTGGGTGGCTTGGGAAAGCAGTTAATAGAGATCAAGATGTGGGGGTAGGGAAGTCCCCAAAGTCCTCTAAACCTTAGCACCTCCATTCTGATGCAGTCACCCTGGTGCTGTGGGTGACTCTTGGGTAAAGTTAATGTGTTAAGTGTCACCAAAGAACTCTGTGCAATATTGGGCCAATGGTGGTGTGAAACGATCATAGATTTCCCCCAGGAATTCCCTTTCTACCTTACCCTGCTGACTTAGGAATCTCCTGCAGCAAAAGACACTTTCTTGTTTGAGAAGAATGTTAATCTGAATGTTAGAAGATACAATCTCATTCTGTGTCCCCTCTCCACGCAGCTCAAATCTTGAGCCACATAACCTTTCGAGTCTCAATATTCTCATTTATAGAGTGGGATAATAATATCCAGTCTTATTGGATATTTGAGGGGTTTAAACATTGTCAGTTGAAAAGTCCTACGTGACAAAGTCCGAAAACGTTACTACGCGGCTTGTGCGAGGGTTGCTGCTGCTTCTCAGCAGGACAAGACAGGAGAAAGAACCAGCCAGTGGCCTTTCCACCACAGACAGCTTTGTCCTTTCTAGACGGGGCACTGCTGCTTCAGTGTAGGGGAAGATGGGAAAGGGGCTCGGGGCAAATGCAGCCCCGAAAAGAGGAAGTGGCAGGCTCCTGGTGGGGAAGGGATGGCCCTGAGACTTGCAGAATAAGGAAACGGCCCTTACCAGCAGGGTGTAGGCAGTTGGCTGGAGGGTGTAGGAGACTCCGTTGATGGTGAAGGTGACATCCGGCATGACATTGAGGTTGGCGCACTCCACGGCATACTAAAACACAGAACGGAGGATCCATTTAGAGGCCTCCCACCTCCCAACAGAGGGCCTCACTCCCTGCTCCTGCCTCCTCCCAACCCCGGCAGGCACTGACTTCTCCATCTACCGGCTCTGCCCCGATGGCCTTCTGCAGCTGCTTGATCTCATCCGAGGGGCCCGTGATGAGGGAAGTCCCTGTGTCCACAATGGCCTGGCAGCCCTCAGAGCAGAACATCACTGCACCTCCCACCTGGATTCTGAGGGCAAGCAAAATGTCATGAGCCACCACCCTCTCCCGCCCCGCCCTCCTCCCATTCCTCCTCTACACCCACCCCCCACCGGCCAGGCCCTGATGTGTCCCCAGCTGCTCTCATCGTCTACTGGGCTCATTTATGCACTAATGATTTCCATTTTGAGTGTCTCACACAAGAGTGTTTCTCAATTGTTCTGTGACTGATATCCATAGTGGGAAATACATTTACTTTTGGACCTGGCGCGCGCATGCACACACACACACACACACACACGAGATAAAAATGTCATGAAACAGTGCTCAACCTTAACATGCGAAGTGCACCCTCCTATTTTCTATTTTATTCCAGCTCATTAAAAATGTACGTCATGATCCCCTAAAATGAGGTCATGACCCATAAATGGGCAAGTCTCTCTGGTCTGAAAACCCCTCAGTAGGCAGTGAGCACTGACGCTTTTTGCAGTTTGTCTCTCGTGCCCAGCCCATGCCCTCCCCTCCCCTCGCAGGCGCTTATTCTTGGCTGAATTGAAACTTGAGTTGCATTTCTGTGAACATCGGTGTTGTCTAGTACAGCACTAGGTGTGTGACCAGCACCCGGTCCTGCTTCCCTGATTGCTCCATGCCCAGACACACACACACACACACACACACACACGCACACACACACACACGGATGTAGGCATGCATGTATGTCAAGTCCCAGTCAATGTCCCCTCCTTCATGAAACCCTTGCTTGAGGAGCTCAGATAGAGGCGGTCTTGCCCTGTCTGTCATGGCCACTTTGGAGGCACGTCTCATGGGGCATGGCCCACCCTCCGCTTCACCTGGTGGGGCTGTGTGTGTGTGTCTCATCTTCTGTACACACTTCGTGGAGGTGGAATCTGAGTCCATTCACTCTTGCACCCCCGTGTCACTCCCCCTTTTCCCTATGTATTAATTAATGTTAAATGAGCCCCAAGTAGTTGGCTGAGTGTTTGTATTTACTGTCTGTTGACTTGAGGGAGCACCACACGTACAAAGAAGGAAGCTGAGACTCGGTCCTGTGTGCCTGCTGCCCTGGGGACCGAGGCCCCTCTCTGCACCTCTGCTCAGCCCCCGTCCCCCCACCCCATGCTTCCAGCCCCACACGACCTGCCCCCAGCCTCCTCTCCCAGGGACCAGCACTTTGATTCAGGTCAATTCAATTAACCAAGTTGAGTGGTGCCCGTCCTGAGTTCTGCGGTCGTACCATAGCGAAGAGAGTACTCACACATCCAGTGCAATCTGCCAGTAGCCTTGCTTGGTGACAGGGACCCAGTTCAGATTCCCAGAGAAATGGGAATGGTCATAGCCTCCAAAAATCAGCTCACTCCCCCCGCCACCTTCTGGGTCACTACATGGAAAGAAAGGCAGATTGTCAGGCAAGGGCCACTGGAAAACCCCAGGAACAAGCATCAGCTAGTGCCTTGCTTCTTGGTCTGACCACTCACACCGAGTACCCACAGAGGCAGAAATATCAGCCTGGGCTTTGAGACCAGAGTGCCCGACTACTGCAAGTTGATTAGTCTGGGCCTTTTTCGGCAAAAGGATAGAAACAGCTCTGCTTAATGATTTGTGAATGCCTGCTTCCTTCTTGGCTAGAAGGGCGAGGGAGGTGGGAAACGGGGACAATGGCTGTGGTCGTGCAGAACTCATGCGGGACCAAGCTGAGACTATCTGGGGTGTGCACACGCCATGTGACTTTAGGCACCCCCAAAAGCCTTTTCCCCCAAGTATCTTTCTCACTTTTGTTTTGGTGGTGCCTGGAGCTTCCGTGTTATTCGCTCCATTGTGCTAAGGTAAAGAAGCTAATGTGAATGCAATGTGACTTGCTAGAACTTGAAAAATTTTTAATTTTCATCAATGTTGATTTTTCAGGTTTTGTTCTGGCACCTAACAGGAGTCTGGAGAAATCAGACATGAAACTGATTCATTTTCAGAAGGAATATGATCAGAAAAATATAAAACTCAGGGCGCTGCAAGGCAGAATGGTAAAGAGGGAGGGAACTGGGTATCTGTGGGCATCATAAAAGAGTGGTTTTGGGGGGGGTTGGGGGAAGAACCCTTGTTTATTGATGACCTTTGTGCAGGGTGCTGGGCAAAGACTTTTATCTGCTTAATCCTAATTATCTCTTACATCACTCTAGTGGCCATTTGAGGAAACTGAGGCTCTGGGCTTAAATCCAGGTCCTTCAGACTGCAAAGTCTTTACTACTTCCCATCCTAACCCTTGTCTTCCTCAGTTGGAAGGAAGTTTCGCAGGAAGCTCTTGTAAAGGGGAGGCAGAGGTGTCTGGGCAATGTGCCATCTCGCTCACAGCTCTGCCCGGGCTGGTCCCAACTGCAGCCATGCAGTTTAATAGAGGAAGTTCAAGACTCTCCACGGAGGAGTGGAGAACAAGGGAAATGGGCTTACGCTAAAGCTGGGTCAGCTTAGACCAGATCTCACTGGGAGGAAGTCAGAAAGGTAAGAAATCTCCTTCCTATGTAGGGATGAAGGTTAGATGAACCTTCCTGGATCCCAGGCACGCGAGCCTCGTGACCTTTTCCAACTACAACAAGCAATTTAAAAAACTGTATAAATTGACCACTTAAAAATGTATAGTTCAGTAGTGTTCAGGATTTTCATACTGTGGTGATCCAGACTGTGGTCCAGTCTCCAGGACCTTTTCATCCTGTGCACGGAAACTCCATACCCCTTAAGCAGTAACTTCTGTTCCCCCTCCCCTGCACCGGCAGCCTCCATCCTGCTTCCTGTGCCTCTGAATCTGATCACTCTAGGGACTTTCACGTAAGTGGAATCATACTGTGCTTGTTTTGTGTGTGTGTGTGTGTGTGTGTGTGTTGTTTTGTTTTTGTGACTGACTTGTTTCACTTAGGATAAGCTCCTCAAGGTTCATCCACTTGTAGCACGCATTAGAATTTCCTTCCTTTTTCAGGCTGAGTAATATTCTATTGTATTTAATTAGTCCCTTAACATTCCATTATTTTATTGTCAGCTTACTTTTGAATTTTTTGTTCTGCATCCTCCCACTGGAATCAAGCTTCCTGAGGGCAGGGAGTGTCTTCCTTGTTTTATTGTGCTCCCGGTGCACAGTAACACGGTCAGCACAGGATTGGAGCTTGATAAATATGTATTCACTGCATAAATGAATACTCAATCCCAGAGATTCCTCATGTTGGTTCAGTGTGGTATGGTTTACAAGGCGAGGCAAACCCCATTTCCTCAATATCCCCAGAGGGTAAGCCCAAGGTCACACGGCTAGTAATAGGTCAAGCAAGAGATCCAAGCCGGGTCCTTGATCACCAGGCCTAGTGCTCTTTGGACTGGACCATGTTGTCTCCCTTAGTCGTAATTGACCTTAACCTCAGTCGGCTTGACGGGCCTACCTGCTCATGTACACAGAAAACATGGGTATATCCACCAGGTTCTGAGCCATCATATTGTCGAACACTGGGGTCACCCCTCCCACAGCCAAGGAGGGGTATCCCAGGCCCAGAATTCCATCAAACTCTGCGTTCACAAAGGTCTGGCCAGGCTCCGTGACACTCTCTCCAAATTGCTGGCCGACCACAAGAAGTCCTTCCACCTAATGGGAGAAAGCCGGAAAGAAAACTTCATGGGAGATCTTTGGCAAAGAGCCTCAGATTCCCGGATTCTCCCTCTGGCCCAAACAGAATTCTTCCCCCACCCGAGCTTTCTTGATTCAATGGGCACAGTCATTTCATTCCCACAACCTTGATTTTTTAATGTAAACTTTAAGAAGTTGAAGTATATTACAGAAATTGTAAGGGTACAGTGTGGAGCATTTTCACAAACCATTCACCCATGTCAGCAAGCTCCCAAACTGGAAGCCCCTTCATGCACCCTGTAAATCATGGTACCTTTCCTCAAGGATAAGCCATCTCCTGATTTCCCCATATATATTGCCTTTGCCTCTTGAATTTTAATGTTTTTTTTGTTTTGTTTTGTTTTGTTTTAATTTTTTTATTTATTATTTCTAGGAGAGAGAGACAGCGTGAGCAGGGGAGGGTCAGAGAGAGGGGGAGTCACAGACTGAAACAGGCTCCAGGCTCTGAGCTGGCAGTCAGCACAGAGCCCGACGCGGGGCTCAAACCCACGAACCGCGAGATCGTGACCTAAGCGAAAGTCGGACGCTTAACCGACTAAGCCACCCAGGCGCCCCTCCCTCTTGAATTTTATACCAATGGAATCATATAGGATGAATTCTTTTTTATATGGCTTCTGTCACTCAACATACTAGTGCGCTCTGTTGTAACTTTGTTCACTGTCACTGGTATCTCATGGTATGAATACATCATCATTATCCATTCTACCATTGATGGATATTTGGGTTGTTTCTGGTATTGACTACTGCTAACAGTACTGCTTGTACATGTCTTTTGGTGAACATGTTGAATATATGCCTAGGAGCAAAACTGCTAGATAATAAGGTATGTAAGTGTTGTTGCTTGAATAAACACTGGCAATGAGTTTTCCAAAGTGACTGTACCAACTGACGTTTCCAATACCAATGTCTGAGAGTCCCAGTTGATTTGGATCCTCACCAATACTGGATATTACCTATCTTTTCCATTTTAGTCCTTTTGTGGATATGCAGCGGGTTATGTTGTGGTTTTAATTTGTCTTTCCCAATGACTAACGAAACCGAATATTTGGCTATCCTCTTGTGTGAAGTGGGTTGTCTGCATTTTTCTTATTGATTGGTAGGAGTTCTTTATTCTGGAATCAAGTCCTTTTTTGGATAGATGTGTTACAAATATCTTCTTCCAGACTTGGCTGGTGTTTTTCGGTGAGCAGAAGATATGAATTACAGTGTAGTCAAATTTACCATTTTCTCTCTCTTTTATCAGCAGTTTTTGTAATGTGTTTCAGAAATTTTTGCCTGAGGTCATAAAGACATTTTCCTGTGTTTTCTTCTAAAAGCTTTCTTATTTCACTTTTGACATCCACAGCTACAATGTATTGGAAGGTTTGATGATGTGTGAGGTAGGAGCCAAGATTCTTTTCTTTGTTTGTTTGTTATATGGGTAGCCAAATGAGCTAATACCATTTAATAAATACACTGTCATTTCCTCCACTGCACTCCAGTTTCATGTTCAACATAATTCAGAGTAGTTTCTTAATTTTCTATTTTGTTCCATTTGCTGTTTGCTTATCTTGTGTCAATACCACATTATCTCAATTACTAGAGCTTTGTAATAGGTCTTACTATTTGTAGTGCGGTTCTTCATCTAGATTATCTTGGTGTATTACATATCCACATAAATTTTAGAATTAGTTCATCAATTTCTAATAAAAATTGCCATTTTTTTGATTAACAAATCTATAGATCAATTTGAATAAACTTGGACTTGTCCATAATACTGGGTCATGAAATACTGAGTCATTTCAATTTATGTAGATCTTCCTTAATTTCACTCAATAATGATTTGTAGTATGTTTAGAGTAGAGACCTTGAAATGAGTTTTGTTAAATTTATGTGTAGGTTGGCAATGAGAAACAATGAAATCTGGCCATGTGTAGCAACATGGATGGACCTTGAGGGTGTTATGCTGAGCGAAATAAGTCAGGCAGAGAAGGACAAATATCATATGTGTGCACGTATAGGAGGATTAGGAGGAACTTAACAGAGGACCAACCGGGAGAAGAAGGGGGGAAATGGTGGGGGAAAGGGAGAGAGGCAAACCATGAGAGACTCTTGAATGCTGACAAAAACTGAGGACTGATGGATGTGGGGGGGAGGAGGGATGGGCATGGAGGAGGGCACTTGTGGGGATGAGCACTGGGTGTTATGTGGAATCTAATTTGACAATAAACTATTTGTAAAAAAAAAAATTATGTGTAGGTATTTGGTGTTTCTGATGTTATTATAAATAATGTCGTTAAATATCTATTTTCCAGGGGTGCCTGGGTGGCTCAGTCAGTTAAGCATCTGACTTTGGCTCAGGTCATGACTTTGTGGTTTGTGAGTTCGAGCCCTGCATTGAGCTCTGTGCTGACAGCTCAGAGCCTGAAGCTTGTTTTTGGATTCTGTGTCTCCCTCTCTCTTTGCCCCTTTCCCACTCACATTCTGTCTCTCTCTATATCTCAAAAATAAATAAACATTAAAAAAGTCTATTTTCCATCTTTTCCTGATATATAGAAATTCAGATGATTTTGTTCGTTAATCTAGTATTCAACAACTTTGCTAATTAATTATTAACCCCAATTGTCTGTAGATATTTTTGGAATTTTTACATATGGAATTTTGTCATGTGTGAATAATGACAGTGTAATTTCTTCCTTTATAATCCTAATACCCTTACTGTCTTACTGAACTGAGAGTGAGCATCTTTGACTCATTCTTTTTTTTTTTTTCCCTTTGCCTTAACTCGTTCCTGAAAGCCTGCCACCAGGCTTTCTGCCCCGTGCACCGTTCCTGTGTCGGATTCCTCATCGCTGCCTCTCTAGAACTCTGCACACTGAGCAGACTGGCCCACTGCCATTGTCTCAAGCAGGGAGTGCTACTCCCTCCTGGCCAGGCATTCCCCTTTCCCTGGAAGCCGACTCCTGGTTTCCACCTCTTCCCGAGGCAGATCTGAAACTGGCCCCCTAACAGCTCTGAAAAATATTCTGTCCCCCAAGTTTCTGGCCAAAAGAGAAAAGATGAAGGAATTGTACTCACATAGACTTGGTCGGTCCCAATGATTCCAGACAACCTCCCAGTGCCATACTGAATGGAGAACTGACTCCCCACGATGCTGTATGTGGTGGACTGGGAAGGGTAGAACCTGGAGTGTGTCTCTGGAAAAGCAAGGATGCTGCTCTTTCCTGGGACATCAGCTCACCGCCTCCGTCCCTGCCCTGAAACCTCAGAGATGCAGGGTCTCTTCCCTCAACTCCCAGGATTGAGTGGAGGCCCCTAGAAAGGTTGACCGTGGCCTTTGTTAGTTAGCTACTACATTCTCCTCCAGCCACATGCGGTCACAATTGTCCCTGGGCAAACGTGACTGCTCACAGTGACCTCATGAGGCACACCAAGATAAGCGTCACGGAACAGGCACCAGCAGAGTCTCTGCCAGCTAGTGTGGGTCAGAGCCTGGTATTCACAAGAAAGTCAGGGATAAATAAATACCATTCCAGGCAGTTACTCTCAATTCCTTGCCTAACCTGTAGACACCTAATTTTGGGGTTTTCTGAGACACTGTGTCTCTAGAATTTATCTAGCATAGACTAAGACGTCTTTCCTTAGCCCTTCCCTTTCCAATGCTAACAGCGACGTCTGAGTTACCTCTGGCCAAATAGACGCACCCCTACACTGTGCCCCACCAGCCCCACCTCTGATATCCTGGGAGGTAGGCCACCAAGCCCTTTAGAAGCAGGTGAATAATCACCACTAGAACCCAACCCACCTACCTGCCCAGAAACAGCCATTGAATGAAAATTTCCCCCACCTTATTTTGGGTGTTCAAAGGGAGTGAGTCATTGTGTGCTCAAAAAGATTTGTATCAACTTTGTGTTTTCAGTGGCTGAGTTTTCCCCCATTAATTCTGGTCATTATGAAAGTTGCTGGCTTGGATAGCAGTCAGACTTTAGCTCTGTCCTGGCTCAGTCTTCTCTTCACCATTGGTGAAAGTCCCAGGGTGGACTCAGAGGTGGAGAGAGGGGAAGCTGGCATGTCATGGATGGCCAGCTTCTGGAAATCAAGCTCCCTTCCCCTAGAAGGCCGGGCCTCAGCTGCCATTGACCCTGGCCCTACTTACTGCAGGCTGGGCTTGTGCAGTACACGGAAGGGACCCAGAGGTTGGAGGAGCCAGTGTCAAAGATAACAGTGAAGTTCTGCGGTGGAGAGCCAATGGAGATGGTGCCAAAGTATTCTGTCTGTAGGGGAAGGAGGGAAGGAAGGAGAGTGTAGGTGGTGGGAAAGGGGAAGGTGCTCACCAGGGGGCCTCAGGAGAGCTCTCCAGGGCCAGAGACTGGGCTAGCACAGAGGAGCTTACAGAGCCTGAGGAGTGGTAACAAAAGGGAGAAAGAGCAGAGAAAAAGCTACAAGGGAGGAGATCAAATCGAGCCTCCAGCCCCTGCCAAATCTTTAGCTTTTGTTTGCATTATTCCTCATAATCACTTTGCCAGCAAGGCTGAAAAGGCAGTAAGGCCTGTGCTCTGCAGTCAAGGAAGGGAAGCTGGGGAAAGTTAAGTCATGTCCAAGGGCACACAGCAGGGCCCCTCTGACTGGGATGCATGCCCTGCTCACGCCTTTTCTTTTGCAGAGAGCTCCGTGCATTTGGGCACATTGGGGCTTGCTCGGTCAAATCCACAGGTACCCAGGGGATCAGTCCCTATGGGATATCCGAGAGGAGAAATCCACACTGACCTTCAGTGTTGCTGGCCCACACTGGCCATGCCCACAGGCCAAGCCATCCCTCCACCTCCCCCACCCCCAGCCCCTGCCCCAGGACTCCTCACATCCATGTAGTTGATGAGGGGCTCGTTGGCACTCTGCGTCGCCGTGCAGGCCTCGGTGTACTGGATCATGTCCAAATTCTGGGCTTTCCAGAACTCAGAGAGCTGGCCCCGTGCCCGCAGCTTCTTCCGGAGGGACGGATGCCTTCTGAGGGGCACCCTGAGAGGAGATGTGAGGAGATGCCTTTCTGTCCCTCTCGGACCCTGCCCTCTCCCCACCCCATTTTTCTGGAGGTAAATTGGGAAATGACACGGGAGAACATCTGCAAGGCAGCAGGCCAGAGTGGGGCCAGGATTCGTGCCCTTTCTGCCCCCAGCCTGTCAGTCTGGCCTCTGCCTCCTGAAGATTCTTAGAATCTTAGACTTGAAGTGGCCCTCCCGCTCACAGTCAAGCTCCTTGAGATCTTCTAAGAAAATGTTCTGCAATTTTACATGAACCTCACAAAGGGCTGATATAAAGGGACAGAAAGGGTTTGGGGTTAGCCACGATCTGTCTTTCGAGCAAGCACTTGGTCCTGTGAGCTCCACACCTAAGCTGCGGATTCCTGCTCTTTACTAACGTGAGAAGCTCCCGGGGGCTTGGTGGTGGAGAGGTGGAGGCAGACGGGTGGCTTGTCGTGGGCTGGGGTTAAGGCCAACACAAGGTGGCCCTCAGTTTCTCCTCCTCCGCAATTCCCCGTCATCTTCCCTCTCCCAGGGCAGCCGAAGCTTGAGGACAGGGAGCTGCCCCGCTGCACCCAGGGCTGGGGACGTGGCCTCACCTGTGGAGGGCTTTTTGAGTCAGTCCCAAGTCCAGGAGCACCAGCAGCAAAAGAACGAGTGTTTTCATTGTGGGGCCAACCAGCAGCTTCTTTCTTGCTCTGTCGCGGCTTTCCTTGCCCCTTCTCCTTTCTTCTCTCCCACAGGCCAGTGGGGACCGATCAGATCTACCCTGCCCAGCCCGGTCTGAGGGCCCAATGATAAGGCCTCTTGCGTCAATAGCCAGGCCCCGGAACAAACACAGTGCGTATAACAGGGTGTTTCTCTTCCTCCCCTCATGCCCTCTCCCTCCCGCAGGGGCAGGGTGGGTCTGGGGTGGGACTAGGGGCTCTGTGCACCCTCAAATAGTGAGAGGGCTGTGCAGGTTCAGCTTCTCCCTGAGTTTTTGGTGTCCCACCCTGCTCCCTAGAAACCCTGCACTCATCACCCGAAAGAGCAATGTGCCCCTGGACGGTGGGACCCCTCTACTTTCCCCTCTACTAGTGGTCTGGCTGAGGACTCCGGGGTGGGGGGGTGGGGGGGTGTGGAATCTCAGTCATCACATGTGGGGCCGCCCAAAATATCAGTCAGGTTGTTTTCTCTGTATTTCCTAGTCTCTCCTCGCTCCTCCGGGAGCCTCAAGGGGCAGCTGACCCTCCCTCAGTCCACTTTGAGGCAGAAACTCACATTCCTCAAAGCCCCTGAAGTGGGAGACTGGGCTTGTGGGGTTAGTTTTTCAGACCCCAAGGACTTGATGAATCTGGGGCTACGGGGAGGAGGGGGTGTTGGAGAGGAATACAGAGACAGCCCTGGAGGGGGCTGGGAGGTCCTGGACGCAGGGGGGCAGGGGGCCATGATTCTGCAGCAGGTATCTGTACTACTTTGCTGCGGCTTCCATGACAACTTAGCGCAGCTTGGGGGCTTGACAGAAATTTATTTTATGGTGATTCTGGAGGCTAGACGTCCAAGATTAAGGTAGAGGCAGGGTCGGTTTTTCTGGAGGCCTCTTTCCTTGACTTGTAGAGATGGCGGCCTTCCCTCTTCCCATGGGCTTCCCTCTGTGTGTGTCTGTGTCCTGGTTTCCTCTTCTTACCAGTCATATTGGATCAGGGTCCAGCCTAAAGACCCCATTTTAACATAGTTACCGCTTTAAAGGCCCTGTCTCCAAATACAGCCACATTCTGAGGTTCTGGAGGTTAAGACCTCAACATAAGAATTTGGGAGGATACAATTCGGCCCATAACCATGTCCAAAGAGAGAAGGACCCTCAGTCTGTCATGTGGAGTAGGGAGTGATGGGGTTCAGTGCTCAGTTACCCTCATGTGCCTAGCAGTTGCTATGAACCCATCTCTATGGCCATCCCACCTCCTAAACAGAAGCTGGGCTTTATCTCCTTGAGGGAGGATGGAGGGTGGTGAGAAGGAACACCTTCCCCTGACCATGACCCTGATCTAGGTTTACAGGATGCTCTGAGCCAAGGCAGTAGAGGCCAGCACCACCGTCACACTTACCAACACATCCTAGCCATGGAGTAAAGACAGAGGACCAGAGTTCAGGTGAGCAGTGAAGCCACAGCCAACAATCAGACAGTGTCCTAACAGCGTCTGTGGGTTTCCACGAAGCAGACAAACTTGGAGGTTGGAGCTAAGTTGAGTCCTGCCTGGAGCTCCAAAAGTGTAAAAGGACATCAAAAGGACTTAGGGAACAGACTGGCCCCTTGAAACCCTGATCCCAAGGGAACAGAGCCTCTTTAGCATTTGCTCAGGTCACAGTCCTCTTTGACCCATCACTGGGGAGGGATGTCTCTCCCCTAGCAGGGCAGCAGGAGCCAGAAGTGGCTAGATGTTGAGATAATTTGTGTTAGCATTATGCTCTGTCATGGTTGGCCCATAACTGCCCAACTGCTGGGAACCTCAGTCCTGTTATCTGCCAAATACTCTCCCTACATTGTTGAGTTTTAAGAAGGATTCAAGAACCAAAATAAGGTATGTGGAAGTAATCGAAAACCTGTAATGTGTCATCAGACTGAAGATCTTCACTATAAAAACTTTGCACCGGAAGGTGGCTTCTTGCCGCCAGGGCAGCCCACTTATACAGCACATGAGGACAGGCCTCCTCAGTCCAGTCCAGGGGTCTTTCTGCTCCAGAATTATCATCATTAATATTGAACAGTTGACATGAACCTAGCTGTACCCCTCCCGCCTCACCTAGCTTCCAGGCCAGTCCCCACCACCCCCTGGCCTCTGTTTGTTGTGAGTGGAGGGTTTGACTGGCTCAGGCCAGAAAACAAGCTGGCTGGTGTGTGCAGCTGTGGGCCACCTGGCCCCTGACGGGATCAGAGCCATCCTGGATTGTCCGTGAGGAGTTGCTGGGTCTGGCTGGGTTTTGGAAAGTTTGACACAGGCTAGAAGCAGGACGCTGGGCATGTCTGTCAGAACGAATGGGTTCTGTTCTCTCCAGAAACAACAGGGAGCTTGCAGATTTCTGGATCCTCGAATCCTAGGACCAAATGTCTCTGTGGACCATTTGGGAACACAAGCCCTTGGACGCGTGCATGATTGTGTGTGTGGTAACAGGTGGGCAAAACCCAGGGCATAATATGGGCAATGGTCCTGTCCTTCAGCACGGGGCGAGGGGCTCTGGAGAGCAAGAGACCCTGAGGGGTGTGGGTTGGAGGCTGGTCAGATGCAGAGTTTTGTCTGTTTTCAGAGCATTTGAAAGCTTGTGGTGTGACCCTATCCAATCAACTTCTTGTCTCTGGAGCTTCAGCTTCAGAAGATAAATTACTAATGAGGACAGTTGCTCAGTGCTCTGTGGAAATCAGCTTTATAAGTCTCCAGAGACAGGGTGTCCGTGTAAGACACAAACAGCTGCTTCCCCTTCAGGCTTAGCTGGCTCCTGCCCGGAGCAGAGCCAGCAATCTGGGATGCTCTTGGCCCTGGCTCCGGCAATATCACCAGCTCTGCGTGAATGCTACCGACTGGAAAATGTCCCAGCCTCCTTTCTGCTTGAAGCTGATGAATGAAGGAAAGTCTACTGTGCTTTGCGTGGTATGGTAGAAAGAGGCCTGGGGTGGGATGCCTGGATCTAGTTTTGGCTTTGCCACTAACTAGTCATATGACCTTGGATAAATCATTTTTCTCTGAATCTAATTTCCTTGTCTGTACAGTGAAAAGGGTGGATTGGGTAATAATAACAAGGAACATTTGGGGGCATAAGACTACGTGCCGGGCTCTGAGCTAAAGACCTTAGAAGCATTAGCTCATTCTACCCTTACACCAATCCTAACAGGCAGGTATTATTTTAAAGCCCATTTTACAGATGAGATCATTGAGGCACAGAGAGTTTAAGCAACTTGCACAAGGTGCTATAACCAGGATTCAAATCCAGGTTTACCTGACCTTAAAGTTGATGATCCGTATTGGGTGATCTCGAGGGGCTGATATTCAAGAATTTCTTCCCGGAAGAGAAAGAACAAGAAGAGAGAGGATGGGAGGGAGGAGGAGTGGGGAAGAGGGGGAGAAAGAATAGTTTCCTGTGTGATGGAAACTTTGAGGCCTTTTAAATGTAAGAAGAGAGAGGGGTGTGTGCCGGGTGGAGGGTGGTGGTGAGTTGCTGTGTGATTAGAAATCTTGCCATTGCTTGTTTTTCGGCAAATATTTTCTACTTTGCCTTCAAAGAGCGTCTCAGCAAGGATCATTACAGGTGCGAAAACCCCCCACCCCATGTACCCCTCTGCACGACCCAGACACTGAATTCTGAAAACTTAAAGTTTAAGGTGATAGATCCATTTGCCAATTGCTGAAAAAAGAGCTCCTGGCACAATGGTTTGCTTTTCCCAGGGGCCTGATCCGCTTCAGGTTGGTAAAGCCCCTTGTTTTCACGCAATGGGAAAACAGAAGGATCTAATGCGTCCGGCATCTCGCCACATCAGGAATTCAGTGTGAATCATTTCCAAAACCCCTGTCAACCTTATTCTGGGAAAGTGCCTTTCGGACCAGAAATTATTGCAGTTCAGCCAGCAGACGACACAAGCATCGGGAAGGTTTCCTACCTGAATACCGCCTGTGTGTGCGTGTGCCCTCGTCCCTGGGCTTGCCAGGGCTCAGGGCTGCACACTGACAGCGCCAGTCTCTGTGTTTGCTACTCGGCCCAGGCGTTGAAAGCAAACAAGTAGGGTCTGGAGTCCAACCCCACCACTTAGGTAGATGTGTGCTATTGAGGTCGTTTGGAACATCAGATTCCTCTGCTGTAGGAAAGAAACCGTGATGTCCTCACAGGACGATGTGAGGACTCCACGGTCTCATGGAAGATGTCCCACCCAGCCCAGCCCCTGACGCCCAGTTAGCACTTAGCACCAGTGCCCTGGCTAACCCGCATAGACCGGGGCAGGTGCCAGACACTGACTATGCTCCATAGGCTGCTCTACGTGCTTAGAATACCCTCACTCAAGAAATTCTCTCAACAACCTCATGAGGTAAATGGCCCCAGCGAGGCAAAAGAATTTGTCCAAGGTCACACAGCTGGTAATGATGGAACTGGGCTTGAACCCAGAGTCTTTCTCTGAGTCTGTGATCTTTTGCAGCGGTCGCTGCTGTCTGTCGTCTACGCGTACCTGTTCACTGGCTGAAATACATTGTGGAGACCATCCATCCTTTTGTGTCTTTTAATGGTTCAGGAAAGCTCTCAAGGCTTCTGCCAGTCCTCGGCGCTTTCTGTGTGATCAGGGACTTGACCATTTAAAGGCCAGGAAATGAAAATGCTCTCTGACCCTTCGTTTCTTTATCTGTAAAATGAGTTTGTTAGAAAGATCAATAAAAGTACATGTGAAAATGCAAGATGCACAGTGGGTGTGCAATAAACACCTGATTAAAGTTTCATCATGAGGGGAAGAGAGATTATACTTAAGCAATTGTAACAGAAATCCGACTCCGTCCTTCGTCACCTCTGTGGGTTTTCATTGTCAGGCTTCTAGTGACAGGGTTCTCCCCCGAGAAGTGCTGTTCTCTTTCATCTTTTCCTCTGGAGTGAACCCCTGAACTTCTGCGCATGCCCGGAGGGTAGGATCTAGGCTGTGGCCGAATAGGGACAAGGCATAATTTTAATCTCGGAATCCTTTTTTTTTTTTTTTTAATGTTTATTTATTTT